TGAGGGAGATGGACAACTATAGACGCGAAATCCTGGGCATCAGTGAGAGAGGAGTGATAGGTGTGGATAAGAAGTGCGTAGAGCAAGAGGAGACTTCTCCTTTGCCTAGGGCACAGCAACATCACCACACAGGGAGCAGCGCTCAATACAACAGATTCTGTGGGGGGAAAAAATCATTCACCAACTACAGTCTATTAACCAATGCAATGTAGATGCCAAACTCCAAACCAGAGGCCTAAAGATATCAATCAGTGCTCCGCTCCAACAGAGGAACACAGCGATGACGATAAAGAGAAGTTCTACAATTGCCTCTGATGTGTGATCGACAGAATACCTAAACGTGACTTACTCCTTGTCATGGGCGACTTTAATGCTAGAGTAGGATGTGATAACCAAGGTATGGAAAGAGCAACAGGGAAGCTGGGAACCCTTAACCAAAATGGCAAGAGACTCATTGAATTGTGTTTGGTCACCAACCTGGGTCTTGCAAGTAGCCTGGTCCCTCACAAAGACATAGATGAAGACACGTGGAATTTGTCAGATGGCAAAACGAAAAATCAGATCGCCCACAACTGCATTAGCCGAAGATGCAGGTAATCTGTCCAAGACCTAAGGGCATACTGAGCAGCAGATGCTCACAGCAACCACAATCTTTGCATTGCTAAACCGAAATTAAAACAGAGGAAGATCAACTTTAAACAGAAAGTGGTAAAGAAAATCAACAGTACAAAACTGAAAACAAAGAGTCCCATGAGAAATTCCAGCGTGAACTAAGGAACAGATTGCAGGCACTGACAGAGGCAGAAAAGGTGATACACAGAAAGGGCCTGAAGAAAAATGGGCAGCACTCAGAGACAATGTGATTCGAGCTGTCCAGTCACAGTCAGATAGCAACACAGACAGAGCAAGAACTGGATAAGCTAAGAGACGTGGTGTCTCAGCAAGGAAAGAAAAATAACCCGAAGGAAAACTCCTGAATTCTAAGACAAACAAACTATTGGAAAACATAAAGGAGGAGTATAAGAAAGCAGACAAAGCAGTGAAAAGCAGCTGAATGAGAGCGAAACGGAGATACGTTGAAGACCTAGCAGCAGAAGCTGCTGCTATGATGGGAAACCACAGAGCCCACTTACCAAGTGACTAAAACCCTGTGTGGAAATTTCAAAACAGGACATGGGCCAATAAAAAGCAAAGACAAAAGAAAGCTTACAACTGAGGTAGAACTGAAAAGCAGATAGACCCAGCTCCACTTCAGCATCCGATGTTGATGAAATACATGGACCTGATCAACTTGACTTTAACATCAGTCACTAGAGAAATATCAGAAGTGGAGGCTGCAATCGCAACGCTGAAAAGTAACAAAGCCGCAAGAGATGATCAAATTCCAGCAGAAATGCTAAACGTAGTTGATACCACTATTCTAATGAAACTGACAGAGCTGTTCAACCAAGTTTGGGGAAAAAAGACCCCTCCTGGCCAGTGGAAACATGGAATCATTGTCAGAATACCCAAAAAGGGTGATCCTACTGATTGTAGCAACTGGAGAGGAGTTGTAGGGAAAGCCTTCTGCAGTATGAAACTTTCATCACACAGGATGAAAGAGGCCGTGGATGCAAAGATTAGGGAAGGCCAGGCTGGATTCAGGCCCAAGAGATCCTGTGTAGATCAGATATTCACACTAAGGACCACCATAGAGGAATATGTAGAATGGCAATCTCCCCTCTTCGTCAATTACATTGATTTTCAAAAGCCTGCACAAGACTGTGGAATATTCTTCCATCCTACAGAATCCCAGCTGAAGCTGTCAAGATCATCAAGGAAGCGATTTCCCTTGGTACTTGCAGTATTTATCCCTTTAGTGTAAAGAACGCAGCACACAATGTGGAGCTGTATCAGAGACCCAGACCCTCCAATGAACTCAGCCTGGGTGGAGCTCTGTACTACTGGGGTTCTGCATTGGAGCAAGGATCAGCCCACCTGGAGCTCAATGCAGAATGGAGGCTTCTGTTATCAGAGGGTGCATCTGCACGGCTACAAAAGACCTGTGGCACAGCCACCCTGACTCAGCTGACTTGGGTTAGCAGGGCTCTGGCTGCGGGGCTAAAAATTGCAATGTAGATGTCCAGACTTGGGCTGGAGCCCGGGCTCGGAGACCCTACGAGGGGGGAGGGTCCCAGAGCCCAGGCTCCAGCCCGAGCCCAAACGTCTACTCTGCAATTTTTAGTCCCACAGCCCAAGCCAATTGACCCAGGCTCTGACACTTGGTGCCCCAGGTTTTTTATTACCGTGTTGAGAAGAATGGATCCCCAACATTTCCATCTCGTCATTAATGCTGCTTGTTTGCTTTTGTGCCTCAAAAGCTCACAAATCACAAGTCAGGCCTCAAAAATCATGAGATGATTTTTAAAAATGGATCCTTTTTTAAGCCAATTAAAAACAATTAATAATTTAAAAACTAATTTGGGATTTTTCTCTTTGCCTCCTGGTTTGTGAGACTCTAGGGTCATTTTTTCAAGCTCTTCCCCAAACCATGAAGAGGACTAGAAGCTTTCATTTAAAAAACAATTAAGCTGAAATTCTCATATAATGATATGACTCCAGCAGCATCACTCCAAAAACCTAGTCTTGCCAGGCCCATAATAAAAATCACCAGAGTTGGCAACACTGCATTTTGGATAATGAAACAGGCCAGTTTCACATTTGTTTCTAGTCAGTTTCATTTTCTGTCCTCTCCACTAGCACAAGACTGTTTTTGTGTTTGGGTGTCCAGCACTGCAAGGCAAAGTGTGAATCAAGAAAAACAAAACAAAAACATTTTCACTACAATTTAAAAAAAATAATAATAATTTAAGGCACTTCTGTTTGTTTTAGGTTGTGTAACACCTTTTTTGAGCTTTTCCCCTAAAAACAATATAAATTTTGGGCCTACGCCATAGTCCAATGTCATTTTACAACACACAGTTGCAGTCCCAGAGTCCATCCTGCAGACCCTCACTGAGTAACTTTTAAACCTGCAAACAAACAGAGAAGCATTTACAAGATTGGGCCTCGTTTGTACAGCACCTGGCACAACGGGACCCAATGAGACTGGGAACTTTAGACACTATCGTGATATACACGTTTAATAAATACAATTGCTTCTTGTTTTTCCTGATCATAACTTTCCACTGAGCTCAGCCCTGATGCAGACATCCCACCTGGACTAACTAACTCCTATAGCTCTCATTTTGTGTGTCACTATGTGCTCCTAGTGGAAGCGAAATTAACACAACTCTAACCATTCCCAGAGCTCTAGATTCCTTCCTTTAGTATCTACAAACAAGCCAGCCTGCTCTGAACAACAATCTTGAGCCAGGACCAGATGTCCTTTAATTTCAAGGCTTTAAGTAGCAAAATTACCCTCTTGGGAACAGCTGCGTCCACTACAACTGCTTCCTTGGTGTTTTCTTCAATGACCAAGTACATGTAGTTATCTTCCAAGACTGAAATCACTTTGACCTTCATAGTCCCAGGGTTGTGAAGCTACACAGGTGAGCTGTAAGGGAAATTACATTATTTTAGAACCATCCCATACGATTAAAAAAAAAATCAATCCAGCAGCATCAGAAATATTTAGAACAAGGTCCCGGGCAGAGAGCACCACCATAACAGCTCCAAGTCCCAACCCTCCTGCGTCTATTTGCACAGACTCCACCTGTGGCAAACAAGCCCAGGGCCGTGACTTACTGGAACAGGTGCAACTCTACTATGAAAAACAGCCTTTCGCCTCTTGGCCTGCTCTCCTCTCCTCGCCTAGTCAGAAGTAAATCCACAACACTGTGGCAACACAAGCCCAGCCTCAATGCACTAGCTAACAGTTCCCATTAAGCGCATCTCATGTTTAATTCACTGGTTTAGCTCCAATTTGGGCTTTCTGGGGATTGTGAACATCCAAACTGCTGCACACAAATGCCTCAGGACTCAGAAAACTGTTCAGCGTGGAAGGATCAGTCTAGTTTGGTTGAAGGCAGGGGGAGTCAGAGGGAGGCCAGGGGCCAAAGCCGGACTGCCAGATGCTTTTGAATGGACCCTGAAATCTTTTTATTTACTTACTATCATTACTGGGGGGGGGGGGTAATTATTTTCTCTGGGGTCTGGACCTTGACCAAGAAATTTGGACTTTGACAAAAACTCATTGGCTACACCTGGTTGAAGGTCTCAGTTTAGAGCTGAGAGTTGCAGCCACTCCTCAATACCCCTGTTCCCAGAAGGGGACCCCGGCGAGCTGGAAATGAGTTCCCAGAATACAGGGTGGGAGAATTAATTATCACATGGCAGCCCCCAGCCCACGCGCAAAGCATCCCCCCCGTGTGAACCCCCCACCCCACACACCCCCAAACCCAGGTGCAAATCGCCCCCCACCAATGTGAAAATCCCCGGGGCCCCCACATGCCGACCACCTCCTCCACCCATGTGCAAATTAATCAGCTGTCTGCTAGTGTCACCCCCCTTGCCCAGGTGCACCCCCTTTCACACGCGTGTGCAACAACCACCCGGACCCCCCCCCCGCAAACCCAGCCCGGCTGCGGGTGCTCGCTGCAGCCCCGGCCCCAGAGCCCGCAGCGCCCAGGGGTTCGGTACCTGCTCGGGGCGGGGAGCTCCCTGGTCCGGGGTCCGGGGACAGGCTGCGGGGCCCGGGAGGGCCCGGGCGGCGGCTCGGAGCGTAGCCCTGTCACTGTGCGCCAGGGTCCGCCCCCAGGGCCCGGAGCCAGCGAGCCGCCCCGGCCGCCTCCATCCCCGGCCCTCCCCGGGTCCCACCCCCCCGGCCCGGGGGATCAGGGCCCCGGAGCCCCGCGGTTCTGCCCCTCCCCTGCACTCCGCCGCCCGTTCCCCTGCGCTGCCCGGGCACAACGTGCATGACACCAGCAGCAGCTGCCTGCTTCTGGGGCTGCGGGCGCTGCAAGGCCAGCTGCTGCTCGGGGGGAGGACAGCAATTCCCCCCCCACACACACACATGGCTTTGCAGCCTATGCTGTCATGGTAGGGTCAAGGGGAAAAGCCATTTGACCTCAGACTGGTGGCTGATTCTTCCAGGCCTCACATGTCAGGACAGCTGTGTCACCTCGCCCCGTCATTCCCTCCCATCAGTACCCATCTGTAAAAGGCATACATGTTAAATCCTCCACCGTGTACCTGATCCCCTTCGCCCAATCCCTTCCAGCTACACTGGGATGGCCTGGCCGTGGGCAGCAAAACAATTTTGAGGGGAGGAGAGGGAAGGTCTTAAAATACTTCCAGTCCTCTGTGTGCCATGGAGAGGAAAAGAAACCTCCGCCTTCTCCCCTCAGCGTCAGCTTCTCCCACCCACCAACCACTTATCAACATAACCAGTTTGAAGCAGCAACCGTGCTGCTGGCACCTTGCCGAAGCACATGCAAAGGTTTTATATTTCTTTGCACCTAGAAAGAGCTTTCAACCCCAGGGTCGCAACATGTTATACAGCCCCATTTTACAGTTGGGGAAACTGAGGCAGAATCTGAGTGCATTGACTGGCTTTTTATTTCACATTTGTACAGCACCTAGCGCAATAGGGTCCTAATCCCTGCTTGGAGCCCTCAAGCATTACAGTACTACAAATAAATAATAATTAATGGCTTGTCCATGTCAAACAAAAAGTCTGGGGCAGGGCCAGGCCTAGAACTCAGATCTCCTGAGGCCAGGGTGGGATTAAGGTATAAAATAACTAAGCTACAGTTAAGGGCCTTGCAATATGAGGGGCCTCTAAAAAAGAAAAAACTGACTCCATTTCAAATTTTATCAAAATCAGTTGATAAGGAGATATGGGAAAAAGAAGATTCGCTCTAAATACAGACATTTTTGTTCAAATATGACAAAAATATACACATCATTATTGACAGTTGAGAGGCCAGGTCTGAGAAAAAAAACAAACAATAAAAGCACTTGTAAAATTAGTATTTCTATGAGTAAGTCTGCTATCAGTTTCCCGAGGCAGCACTTTGTTGGCCAGTTGCTACTGGTAAAATTCTGACTGTGCCCTCATAATTTATGAAAATAAATAAATAATCTCACCGCTGATAAAATCGGGGAAAAAATGTGAGGTTGGAGATGGCGGTGCCGTGAAGCCATCCTGCCAAGCTCATACTCATGTTAGTGTGTTCTTTCTTCTTTTGATCTGTACATCCACACAACTGTGTATTTTAGTGTGCATGCTTCATGCGCTATCCGTGCGTCACATGATTGAGTTTGCAGGTGATCGTCTTATGGACTTGGGTCGAGTGGATCTTGAGAAGGATACATTTGTGTTGGCTTCCCTCCGTCAGTTTTGGGAACCTTCACAGTAAATATCAGAGAATGCTGCCCAAAGGATACATAGAGGATTTTGAGAGAAGCGAAGGAAGATATACATATATATCAAAATATTCTGAGTACTTGGTGAGCAAGTTATTTCAAACTATCTGCATATATGATTTATAGGTTATTAAAGCCTATAATATTCATTATATTTGCCTGAATACAGGCTAGTTTTTCTCACTTTCTCAATGCCCGTCTGGAGATTACCAGTCTTTTTTCTGGTAAATTCTTTCTTTCTCTTTTGCACATATAGCTTGTTGTCCCTCTGTGTGTCCGAGGTGTTTACTCGAGATTGATTGGTGGTCCTTGGGGAGACAGAGGATAGAGAAGTGAACGCGAAGAGAGATGTCTACCTAGAAAAAAGACTGGGATTTTCTGCTTGGCGGGTTTGGAGCATGCAAGAGAGTATTTTATTATAGGTAGTATGCTATGTAAAAATTCTTATATAGACTTATAAAACACACATCATATGTATAATACATTGTATTTTTATAGTATGGCAAAAGAAAAATCCCAACAATTCATTGGTTCATAGCAAAAATTAAATCAGAATGAACGTTTGTAAATATATTTTATATATAGTCTGGATGAATGTATTTCCCTAAAAAAATTAATCAAATATTTTTTAATTTATTCATATGAAAAGAAGGATAATTTCCTTATTCATGGTGTAAACAAAATTATATATCCTCTCTTGTTTTCCTGTGAGAACATAGACAAAATAGCACTAACTTTCACAGAAATATCCTGGTTTCAGAGGGGTAGCTGTGTTAGTCTGTATCAGTAACAACAACGAGGAGTCCTTGTGGCACCTTAGAGACTAACAAATATCCTGGTAAAATAACACAGGCTTTTGGCATATAATTTGTTGTGGTACAGATATATACATCTCAATATTTACAATATAAAATTAATTTTTTACTGGTTTCAATAAAAACTTTCTGCTACTAATTTTAGTACCAATATTAGGTAATTCAGCATAAGCGTTCATAAAAACAAAAATCAATTTATTGGAAAAATACAACCCGCCTACAATTTTCTGATGGTTTTCTTATTACCTGGGTGTAATTCATATCAATATAGCTAATAGTTGAGTTTTAAGCTTGTGGGTTATCCGCATCCTATATCTCCTAAGAGTCTCATTGCGTATTCAGACCAGGAATGCCACAATTTAGATGCCCCAACATAGAAGAAAATTTTTCTGAGAACTCTTCTAGTAAATTGTATTATTTACTGTACTGTTTTTATATTGTATTGTTTACTTATGTATGCAATTAGTTCAAAGAATTTGTCTAAAATTTATTTCTGTCATGATGTCAATGTTAGAGAGGGCTGTGGAAAATGAAGATTATTCTATTTTTACAACTTTGCCCTTGTATATATGCAAATATAAAGCTTTTGTGTTTATATATTCAATGTCCTTTCTGTGAAAATAATAAATTATTTTTTTATGGTATGGGGCCTCTTACACTTGACGTAGTTTAGAGCCTCAGAATATTCTAATCTGGCCCTGCCTGAGGTCCAGTAAAGCAGTTGTCTTGTAACAATCATTGTACTTTAAAGTAGTTGTTTCTTTTAATTAGATTTTAAAAAATTGCTTCCTTTGCTACTATAATTAAACTGATAATGAATTTTAAGTTCATACATCTCTGTGTCTTCCTGTTTATTATAGAAGGTGCAGAATTCTTCTTGGACTTGTTGATGGCCTGATTGTGTATTAACCTCATTGCTGGGAAATAGCAAATAAAGGATAAGCCATAGTGTGTGAGGGAGGGGGTAGATGCCAGCACTCCCAAATTCTAATCTCAGTTATGCTAATGATTTACTGTGTGATTGTAGACAAGTCACCAACTGGTCTGGACCCAGTGCAGCCCTCATAAGCAGGTGGAATCTCCTTTGGGTGCAGTGGAGATTGGACGCTTCCCCCCCAGGCTGAATTTAAGCCTCTATGCCTCCATTCCCCCAGCCCCCATGACACTGCAGATAACAGCAAACTGCTCCCTGCAGAGATGTTATGTAGTTTAATTTGTAAGTGGAGAGCCAGGGCAGACCCGGTGGAAAGAACATTTGACTAAGTGCATCTGCTCTATTGCCAACCCCAAGTATTCAAAAATCATGAGGCAGCCCTCCCAAAACCATGAACTATAGTTTGACTGTGGTCTGTCTTCTGCTTATTGAATCCCCCGCACAGCTGTTTAGCGTTGCTAACTTTCCCAACTATATTGAATAAGGTGGTTTGGGTCTTGCTTGCTAGCTGATGGTGCAGAACTTCCAGCTTCTCTCCATCCCCCAAAATTGTAATTAATTGTGTGCTCTCTCTCCTTCCTCCATGTTAAAGAGAAACAGACTCTTCCTCTAACAGAAATGCCAATACCGAAGGCTCAAAGGGCACAGTGTGTTTCAGGGCTGTCTTTTGATTTCCATTTTAAAGGAACAACCCTTAGTAATAAGTAAAATATTTAAACTTTCATTCTTTCCCTTTAGATTACTGCCCCCATTGATGCTCTGTTTACTCTTCTCTCCACTTTGCAGTAATAATGCTCAAACTGTTTTTCTTTTTTAATTGAAAATGTACAGGTTTTTGGAGACAGTTGGGAAATCTTTGTTTCAGAAACTGCAGTATTTAGACATTTATATCACTTTTTAGAGTGTGTAAAAAAAAGTCACCCACCCCTAAATTTAAGTCATGTCTCTTTAAAATACTTTCATCATGTGACTGCGCTGGATGGCAAGCAAAAAATTAACTCGCATTCAAGAGGAGACAAAGTCCACCAGGCCCACATTACTTATCAGGCCATAAACAGAAGAGGAGGAACTAGATTCAGCAGAGGCATGAAATGACTCAGCATTACTGTTTCAGCTGTGAAGCATTTATTGAAAAACATACATTTAGTTGGTAACTGTGCAATCAGAAGAGACACGGGAGGAGAATGTAATTAGGAGCCCAGTTCATTAAGATATGGGTGTCAGAATTTTTCAAGTGTGTATTCTACCACTTTGTGCTCATATCCTGTTCTCACTGGCAAGATGAAACCACCGCACGGTCAACTCCTACAGAAACTGTCCCTGCAAGCTTCCCTCCCCCCAGGCCCTGCTCCTAAGGTACATGCATCTGTGGGCATCAAACGTGAGCCTAAAGACACAGAACTTGCACCATAACAGTGACAGGTGTTAGAAGGGAAAGTATTAATAGCAACATGCATCTTTGCTGCATTTGAGCAGTAACCACTGCAGAGCTTAAAATAGATACTACAGTAGCCACACATTGGATAGTATTCCCCCTCCCAGTTATCACATATCAAAATGTGGGCACTGGTACATGGCTTATGGCTCTTAAAAAATAGGGAAGGGGAAGAGAGTGAAAGAGGTTTATAGTAATATCCCTGGATGAAAGCTAGAGTCTCTGAGCCCTTTACAAACCTAGATACACATTAGCCCTAGCCCCCTGGAAGGCAGGAAGTCCATGCAGTGTTTAACCATGCAGAAATTGAGGGACAGAGAAGGTCAGGGGCCTGTCCAAGGCCAGAAACAGACTCCAGAAAGGGGAGACAGGACTCCTCTGCCCTAGCCACTTGGGGTGGGAGGGAAGCTACTTTTTAAAACGATCCTCCTTAAAGTGCAGTTCTCCGAAGACTCCAGTGATGCCAGTTCTGGCTCAGAGATGCAGATGTGGAAGTTGCTCCGAGGAGGACAGAATGAGCAGCTTGTATTAATAGGCTGCTTTTGGCCACGTATTTAGAAGAAGCCTTTTTCATAAGGGGGCCGAAATGAACACGGATGGCAAGGGGGCACTGACACCATGGCTAGGCCCCTCAACCAGCTCACTTGAAGCCTATCTTCCAACACGGACACTGAAAACTCTGGGTAGCAGTTCTTTGACATGGCAAAATACTGCGTATTCTCTCCCCACCCCAGCAGTTACTGGGAACCATCCTTTGCTCTGAAAGAGACCAAGTGGTCCTTTTTGTCCGGAGAATCAAACCACGAGCAGCATGAAAACAAACCGAGAGAAGGGGTGGGAAAAAATCAGGCTTAATTCACCCCCTGTGTGCCATGCAAGGTCTCTACCAGGGAGGCAGGGTTTCCATGCTATCGAGCTGCTCACCAGGTTCACCAGGATTAACAGCGTGTTGATATGAGCACAGCGGTCTGGGGAGGAAGTTCCCATCATGTCTGTTTCAGGCTGGCTGCCCACTCCCGATCATCGAGATGTGCCTGCCGTTCACACCAGGGAGGGCTCTGAGCCACAAGGGCAAGGAAAGGAAAGTTTAAGGAACAAGCGTTGTGTTGGAAGACACCCTGGATCTGCCTAGAAACCAGGCTTCAGTGCAGCTGAGCGACCAGGGCAAGCTTTGATTTCTTTACATTTAACAGGACTCTCTAAAAGAAGTTTCTGCTGGAAGACTAGGAGGCTGCAGGAGCTAAGGGATTAAACCAGGCAACTCTAGTTTCTGCTCCTATTGAAGCAGGCCCTGAAGGGTAGCCACTGTTCCAAAACAGCTGGTACCTTGATGATCTTGGGCACCACAGTAACCAGAACTCTCAAATCTTTTGGCCGGAAGGGTCAGCTGGGCTAATCCTGTTAGGTGAAAGTAGCATTTACAGCATAAAGAAGCTATCCTGATGGCACAATGGTAGGAAAGGTTATCTATGGTCTAACGTAATATCTACTCAAACTTGTAGGACATGCATTTACTCACTAGACCAAGTTAGTTCTCTTTAGGATCATACTGGTCTATCGGCCGAGTCCCTACCTCAGGCGTGGTGTTGTTACAGGCACTATGCACAGTATACTTTGGAGGGGAGTCAGTGGATACATGCAAGCTGCTTTTTAAGCCATTAATACTCAGCTGTTCATACTTGAAGGGGCAGTCTGAAAAACATGCTGTCTAGAAATTATTCATCTCTAAGATGCAGAAGGAAAGGGGTGGGTAGAAGCGGGGGAGGGGGGAAAAACTAGTCTCTAATGCAAGCTTGGACAGTCTTATTTCTACAGCCAGCTGTATCCGGATACCAAGCAAGTTGGGCAGCATGTTTAATGAATTAGACCCTTAATTGTGGGTGGCAAAGTGAGCACTGCACGAGGACGAATGAATGTAGCAGATCTTAAAGTGACAGAATCAGAAAGGTTAATTTCGTACGTTGCAAAAGGATTCTTCTTTAGACAGGCATTTGGTTACGTGCATTCCAGAGTTTTGCTTTAATGGTAGAAGTCTCCTGGCCCAATCCTGCAGTCAGCTCTCCTATAAAGCTAACAGTCTTCCCCTGGTAAGGACTGAGCCCTCAAATGTGCCTTCCCCTCCCACCACCACATACTGAACATTTGTAAGGATTCATGCAAAACCTCACTGAATCTGACAGTTTGAAAGCCAGGAATAAATATTCTTTAACATCTTATAAATATGCCGTAGAACATCTCAACAAGAGCAAAGTGCTTTTTTCCCCGCCCCCCCCCTTAAGACAGTTAAAAAAAAAACCCTAACTGTGAATGTGTCTCCACCACAACAGAACAATGAAACTTCTAGTTCCTAAAACATGATAAAACTGACAGGTAAGTGTTTCAGGCAAAGTCCTCAGTCTTTTGGGACCCGGAAGTTATCCTTCTCTTTTCTGATGGCTCCCATTGTTCGAATGGGATCAGTTTCCCCAGCATGCTGCTGGACTGTCTTCTCTCTAGCAGAAGTAAAACAGACAAGCCAATTTTATTTCACTGCTATATGACTCTGTATAAATAGTATAACTCAGACCTGGT